GTCACGTGACTCCACCCCGTCCAGTCTGTAGTCACGTGACTCCACCCTGTCCAGTCTGTAACAAGAAGTGAAAGAGACAGTGCGGTTGAGAAAATGGAGGACATTTTGAATGTTGAAGCAGCAGCGGCCGAGCTGGTCCAGGAGGAAGAGGAGCAGCTAATTAAAAAAAAAAGTGTCTTCAGTCGTCTGGCAACATTTTGGGTTCAGCAAAGACGATACTGAACAAAAAAAGCCAAGTGTAAACTATGCCTTTAGAGAGAGGCGGGCCTTTGCACATGACATTATATTTGCACAACTCGTTTATTTTTCCAAATGTGAAATTTATTTTTTATTATTTAGTTTTATTTACAAGGGAATACTTGACAACTTGTGACGATTTCGTTTACAAGAGACTGTATTTTTAATACTTTGTGTTTACAGGAAAGTCATTTTATATTTCTAAATTTATTCAGTTGTGCTTATTTGTTCAAAAACTATTAACAACTAAAAGTACACATTTTCTTCATTTATTTGCAGAAACTGTAGTTTTAAAGTTCATTAAAGTGGTAATGAAAATGAAATTATGCCATCAATATAACTGGCTGTGATTATTTATGCCGGCCTGTCACATTATTTTCAGAGGTGGGGGGTTGCAGTTATCGTCCATTTATCGTTATCGAGGTGAACTGATCAATATATTGTGATATTGATTTTAGGCCATAACACCCGGCCCTAGGCTAAATACAGTAAAATTATTATTCATGTTGGTGAAAATGACACTCGGCTACACAAATCAGAGATCACTAGAATTAATGTTGCTTCTGTGTGTGTAGTATGACATATCCTGAGATATATTCATACATTAAACGGGTTCTTCATTTTTCTGGACTGTATAACATACGTGCATTGAACTTAGATAAAATGTGGACGTGAGACGTTAATTATCTTTGACTCACCACGACAGTGGGTCATTTATTAACAGAATCAAGTTTAACACATCACACATTTACATTAATTTGGCAGAATATGAAAATAACAACATAATTAATCAGC